TTTGATGATGATTTGTTTTATAAAATGTGATCAGCATCTTGTAAACCAGACTTTATTCATGTTTACATTTTGTAGCCAATCAAACTCCTCCTCTTCTGACTCCGCCCATCTCCTCTTGTTGCCATGGAAACCCCTCACTGGTTCTGGTCTCACCTCAGCTTCAGTTCGGATCCATATGATCTGAAATCTAGAACCGATCATCTGATCTGACCCTGAAATCAGTGGTGACGTCACTCCGTAAGGAGGAGAGCAGCCAATCACGAACCGTCCTCCTCTGCGGATTGTCTTTCTGCATCTCTCCATCTTCTGCTCGGTTCTGGTCCAAACCCGAAGCCTCCGGGATCAGTTTGTGGGCCGCTGGTAAGTCTGCAGCTCGGTTCGGACTGGTTCTGGGTCTGCAGCCTGGTTCCGATCTCGATCATGGTCCAGAAGTCTCGGAACGGGGGGGTGTTCCCCGGAGCGCAGGCAGACCAGAAGAAGCTGAAAGTCGGATTCGTGGGTCTGGACTCTGGAGGGACCGAGTCCAGCAGGGACGGAGCTCTGCTGATCGCAGGTCAGTGCACGCGCACGCGCAGGTAAACTGACCCAGGTCCAGATTTAAACCAGATCCGAGGGTTCGGCTCCGTTTGGTTTCAGGAGACCGTTTAGTGAGGCGCGTTGTAGTGGATAGACTTCAGTGTTTTCACCAGGAAATACATCAAGTTATACAGTATTTATACTACAATTATGTAGTATTACTGTAGTATATAAATACCTCAGGTTAGTGCAGCAGCAGACAGGAACAGTTAAAACCATGGCTACAATAAAAACTAACACCCTAACCGGGTCAGACCTGAACGGGTCAGACCAGCTCAGATGGTTCAGAAAAGACCTCCAAGGGTTCATGTGGCAGTAAAGTTTAAAAATAAATAAATTAAAAACAGAAAAGTCACGTGACTGAAGACTCTGCTAAAGATGAAGAACAGTTCTGAGTTCCATGTTCAGGTTCCACATGGTCTTACTGTGGTCCAGGTTCCACATGGTCTTACTGTGGTCCAGGT